AGAGAGGAAAAAGAAAGAGAGAAAATGAGGAGAGAAGAGAGGTGCGCCAACTGAATGCTTTGAACGTTATGATCTAAAGCATTTGTCGTGCCGATGGAGTTTTTGGCTATCTGCCAGCAGCTGGCGAACATCTTTGGGAGAGAGCGATCATTGTTCACCACCGATTAGTGCCGTCCGGATCCCTCCTCTGTCCAGTAATTATCGGTCGTTTGGGGCACGACCCGTTAAACGGACCATTGGAAGTCACATTCACTTTCATTAGTTCGACAAAAACACATTCTACTCTTTATGAGGCGCTCGGGGGCGGAAAGAGAAACGCAGGTGAATTGTGGCGCTCATTGTCATAGAGAGCGTGTAATTTCTGTTTTGAGTCACCTGCAATTATGTCCATTAGTTCAAACCGTTCAAACCGTCATCCGAGGTTACGCAGTTGGCTATGAAGGTAAACCTTACAAGCGATGTCATTTCTGCATTTCTAACAATGTTTTTTTTTTAAATAGGTACAATATTGAGATTATAGTAGACCTCTAATCAAAATGGGCTTGTTTTTTTTAGAGGCCTTTTGTAACCAATTCGTACTCTTACCTAAACGCCCAGATCACAATTTCCCTTCCCTGACAGTCCACATAAGCTACGCTGTCATGCCAGGCTTGCGTGGACTATCGCTCCACAAACGTTCGTCAGGCATGCAGTGGCGATGATGCGAGAAGATAACCACTGAATACGCCACATAAAACACATCATATCTGGTTATCACTGGCTCCTGGGTCCTGGCTATCACAGTTTCTTGGAGCTTGATCGCACCGCTGCGACGGGCGTGTTGTGAGGTCGTCGGGCGGGCCCGCTGATCTTGTGTCCTGTAATCTGGTGTGGACGCTGCGCACTCCATCATACGCAGCGCCGGCGCGCCCCTGTGGTCACCTCCTCTCTGCCGTATCCGGGTCACAGGAGCACTTCCCAAACAAGTCCCGCTGTTCCCCCGGTGCGGGCGGCAGTGTCGCTCGCAGCGGGACCTCCTTTTCTCCTGCGCCGCGCCAGGAGCGGAGTTTTCCCTACCCAACTGGCCGGTTAAACCTGTACCTACCCACATGACTCTCGTCTGGAAGGACTGGTGGCCTGTCTTTTCCAGGGACATTTGTCACCCGACGATGTTAAATCGGATGCGAGAGAGAACACGAACCGGTCATTCATGACGCTTCAGACGCTCCGGCACAGCTGCTGTCCAGTCTTTTAGTGACTTTTCTTGTCAACTCTCGTTCCAGTTCGTCAACTTCTTTATTCCGATTGCGTTTTTGATATTGCAGGAAAATCACGGTCGATGATTGCAAATGGCAATGCTCGACAGATGAAATATGAAGCATAAAAGCTTGTGACAACATGCGTAGAATAAGATTACCAGATATGCCTACTTTTAGACGTCAGGCACCGTAAGAAATATCCAGCACTGTCGAGATGTCATCCAAAGCTGTTTGGCTGGTTCTGGTTCTGTTTGACTTAGCCACTTTCCATGTCTGCTGCGATATGTCTGCTGTATCTCTTTCCGTGGACAGTTGACACCGGTAGTTTTGAGGGATTCGTTCCGCCTCAACTTCAGCTTTGGGAGACGGTTTCCCTCGCTTTCAACCGTGACGACAGGTTAAGATGCATTAGTAAAAAAGGTCTTTCGGGTTCACGCAGCAGGAAACTTCGGTAAGCGACAGTGAGCGTTTACTTTTTTCCTCCGTTCTCGGTCGTTTTATTCGCTCAGTCCAAACCCAGTCTCCCTATCCAGTATCCACTGTACGCTAACCCTAATTTCATGTGGATATCCGTCTCGGTATCTCAGTCAACCTGTGTCCTCCGTCTCCTATTCTTCGTTTCTTAGGACTCCCGATGTCCGTCCTCGTTCCCTATGTCTTCCATCTCCCGGTATCCGTTTCCTTCTCATCTCTCCACACCTCGGATGTGTACTTCTTCCCCCCGAGTCCGTCCATCTGTCCCGTCTCACTCGCTCCTCTGCCACTTAGCGGCGCTGACGGTCGTAATGAGTCGCCTCTCTGCGTGTTCGAGTCGCGCCGGTGGATCACACGCCTGACCGAGCATGGCGCACCTTACCGCATCGCGGCGTCGTCCGACGGGTCCCGTACTCCCGCTGTCCGCGGCAGTAGCAGCTGCTCCGTGGCCCGCCGCCGGCCGGGGGAGAGATGAAAGGCTAAAACGAGGGGATGCGGGATTATAAAGGATTAGGGTTACGCAGGTGCGCCTGCAAACACCTTTTGTGAGGACATGAGCTAGTGAGCCGACAAGGGATTAATAATGAATGTCTTCATATTTTGAGGAATTGCTCACAATAGTTTTGCGGCTCCGCCTGTTTTGGAATACACACAGCTGGACATAGAAACTGGCAACCATAGGTCTGTTCCCATGGTGTTTTCTCACAGCCCTCATCTCCTCCAGGAATTCTGCTGTGTTCCGATGGCACTCGTAAAAGTGGTTCCATGGCGGCCCTAATTCGCATCCACCTTCCTCCTAAACCCATCCATCCTGCTTCCATCAAAGCTAGGTCAAGCGGGAAGAGATTTGAAATCTCACTTAGCAAAACCGCCAATTTGCCTAGATCAACAACACGTTTGTGTCTGCAGTTACTTCCATCGTCTCGTGAGTGATACCATAATCCATATTGAGTAGATTGCTGATATCAATCTTATTGTGCATTCCCGTCGCCACTCTAGTACGTCGTAAGTGCCGATTTCAATCTCCTCTCAACACTTCCCGTTCGGCGTCACGGGAACAGACGCTTTGCAATCAGTCTCCTCCACCCGTGACCGTCTGCCTATTTACTGCATCCCAGACTGCGTCTGTCATCCCGCATACGTCTGCAAGTACCGTGACCTGGGCCACTCGATCAGACGGTAGCATTTCCCGGCCGGCTACCTCCGTCTGACGCCGGGCAAACGTGCAACGTGTGACACGAACTCAGCCGGGGCCAATGTGGGTCACTATCTGACCGTCTGTTGCCTCCCGCCCGTGGCTGGCAGACGGGGAAAGTGACGGCCCGATGACCGGACGACAGATATTCACTTCACGCATATACAGACGGGTTGAGTGAATGGATACATATCCCTGACTACGTGCGATTGGTAATGTTAGTGTTTGAGGTGTAGGTAATCTGGTGTGTAACATTTGAGCTTCTATTTGCAGTGTGATACAGACCGAAGGGTTCACCGGTCTAAGGCTGTAGTTTGTCGGCAGGTTACGCTTGTAGACTCTGCTGACCCAAGTGCTGCCCCTAACAGCGTCTCCGCCTCTCTCCCGGCAGGACGAGGTGATATTTGTGTTCCAGCGGATCGCGCTCTCGCCCGACGAGGTGTGCGGCATGGTGGTGGGCGACGTGTGTGCCACGCCCTTCAACCCGTGGCACGAGTGGACTGTGCCGCTACCCAGCATACCCAAACCGTACACGCCCACACCCGAGCCAGACGTGAGTACTCCAACTGAACGCGACTGAATTGTGGTGGTTAAGCCCGTATGTGAGCTCATACTACGTTATAGGTATGCTGTAAAACGGCTAACAAGTTGTTACGTGACCACTCTCTCTCATTAAAGATAAATATGTTCTTGTTTTATCAAGCTTAGGTATTCCAATGCTTGTATTTGTCAGTCCACTTTTCGCGATTGATGTCGTGCTCAAAACATCGATGAGGTGAACTAAATGTATGAACCGAACTAGTTACGCTCACCGGAACCGAGCCTCATCTTCAGAATTAAAAAAAAAAAAAAACTGCAAAGGTCTCTTTCTAAACTCCCAAGCTTCTTGAACTTGCGGTGTTACATGTTAAACGTGCTGAGTTGGCTATCCAAACAGCGCTGATATTTGACTTGGCTCCCACTCGGTGGGAATTCAGCGTCAATTTTCTTTGGGCTCGTGACTGAGAGGCGTGAGAGTGGTACTCCTGGCCAAGCATTAGTTTCTATTGTTTCATCGGAACACTGATATGGCTTCTTTACCTAACTGCGTTACGCTTTGTCATTCGAGTCCAACTCACGAGTCGTGGATGTACAGAGACTCACATATCCTACGTCTTCCGCCCGGCAGCCGGAGGCGCCTACCGCACGTGTTCTGCACATCTCCGACACTCACTTTGACCCGTACTACAAGGAGGGTACGGATGCTGACTGCGGCGAGCCACTCTGCTGCAGGTAAGAACCATACGTCCCTTGGGATTGACGGCGGTACTATGTCTTATAGGAAAGGCCCTGGAGTGTGATCCGCGCTGTGAATTGAAGCATTTATGCCATGCATTATCGCATCTAATTTGTTTTCTTTTTTTACACTGATGCTTACATTTCTATGCATCTGACCGCAACAGAAATGCTTAGTGCTCTGTCGAGCGGTCGGGCTACTCAAGCCCGTCTGTGTGGTCTTCTGTTTTTCTATCGACCGCAGTAATTAGTGACAATTATCCGCGGTGTCGGTCTAACTGTCCGCTGGCTGCTGGGTGCGCCTAGCGGTGATGATTGGGTTATGGTGAACGGTGGTGGGCGATGGACGATGGACACGTTAGACAACAAACGTGACCGGTGAACGGTGGACGATGAACGGGAACCGGCAGCCTGACGAGACGGATGGTGAATGGTGTTTGGCGAGCGATAGGTGGTAGACGGACGTTTGAAAGGGATCGCTGATGACTGGTTGGGCAAGTAGACCTGGGTGGCGTACGGTGGGTACTGGGTAGTGGATGGTGAACAGCTCAATATTCAACCGGAGCGGTGGTCGGTGGGCGGAGCTCATCAGGCGTCCGGCGCTATTAGTCTGCGGGCTTCCACCGACACGTGTGCCACCGCCGCGCTACACTCGCCGGGTGCGCGGTGACCGACGGTCGGACGCCCATCTGCGTCCGTCCGTCCGTCCGTCGGTCAGTCGGTCGGTCCGCCGTGATTGAGCGACTAACGGTCGGCCGCGTGTGACCGCTAGTGAATCGTCTCCGCGTGGTGGGTCGGTGGCGCGCCGTCACCGCACGCACCGCTAAACAATCGGATCGCCTTTACGACCTAGGCGGAGGGTAGGCGGAGGGTTACCTAGGCGGGGGCTAGACTGTGTGATCACGCTCAGGGCTATCGGTCTGGTGTAAAACTGTTGCAGGTTACTAACGCAATATGCACACATATTTGCCGAAATCGAGTGTTCATTAATCCTATCACATGGTTGACGTCAGGCTGGTTGATTGGTTGTCAGATCACATATGTTTGATATCGTCTTACATGGGGCTGTCCTATGTGAAGCTCCAGTTCACTAGGGCTAAAATGTGTATGACTGACATAAGAATACCCGCACCTTGCGTCTTACCAGACCCTCACTGACCATGGCCGACCCCCGGTGTCCTTCTGCTCAACAGGGAGACCAGCGGCTACCCGAAGCGGAAGCGGGCGGCGGCCGGCTTCTGGGGCGACTACCGGCGCTGCGACACGCCGCTCAGAACCATCGAGAACATGCTGCAGCAGATCGCGGACGTCCACGGACCGGTGAGAATCGTCAGAGAATCGCTGAACCTCGCGGACTCACTGACACTGACAGTCGAACCCTTCCAGAGCCGCTCCGATTCTCCCTGAGTCTTATCGGGCCCTAGCAGACTGGCCCGGGCTTCTTCTCGAACCCCCACCGAACGTTATAAGCCTCGAGTGTTATCACGACTCGGGGACATTGATTCTCACACCAGTGAACTGTTCTCACCATAATCTAAACTCCTATGCTCTAACATGCTACATGTACCCACGAGAAAAGTCTTTGAGTGAGCCAATAAAATACAATTATTGGGTGGGCAAATGGTTCAGATGCACAATGGCGTGATGCTAGTGAGCGGCAAGCGCCATGGCTGTGTGAACAGGTCCTTAAGCCGGGCGGTTTCATCTGCTCGTCACGTCTGGCTTACCGCCACGGCCGCGCATATGATCAGCTATTTGGTGAAATGTCCTATGCAACGAACGTGCATTATCAATTCATGACGGCCGTTGAAAACTTTCACCGTGCCGTCTTTGAGGCCGTGAGACGAGGACGCACCGATAGCCCGGGGGCACTGCAAACTATGGGAGTGGCGCCGGCAGTGTGACGCTTAACACCCAAACGGAATTAGTTTTCCGGCGCTGAACTGCTAATCGATAGGTGGAGTCGCTGAGGGACGAATCGGATCAGAGGGAAACGTGCCACTCCCATCACCTGTGATGAACTTTCGCTCGAAAAGAAAAGTGGGAACACTTGGAATGGTCGGAGCTGGCGCCAGGATATCCCGTCTTCTCTTCGTGGGAATCACTTTCGCTGTCTGCCGGTCGCCGCGCTGGGCGGCGTCGGGCGGTGGGCAGTGGGCGGTTCCGGGGGCTGACGGGCGGTGGAGGGTGGGTTGTGTTCACTGCCGGACGGTGGGTAGTGGACACTGCGGTGGGCGGTACCGGGGGCTGGTGGGCGGTAGGACAGGTTATCGTTTTGCTTAGTTAAAAAATATTTTACTGTCTGGTTTTATAGATTAGCGAAAGCCTTGTCATTTAATTGTGATTTTTTTTTCTTCAAAGAAGTCATTTTAACTGCACGTACTCAGCGAGTCTCCTAGAGAAACATTAACGCGCCACCGTTGTTTGTTAATTATACGCGTAAGTCGGCCACAAGCTATTGAACTTTGACGCTAACTTTGTTTACGGTCGTATCTTATCTCGTTGTGACTGCTGTCGTCTTCAAAGTACCGATCTTGATACTGTCGTGGTGAATCTGACTCAAGATGTGATCAACAGTCAACACCGTAAACTGATCGTCCCTACAACCTGAGACCTACCCACTGCTCTTTATCTTCACTCTCACATACTATGCGTTACTCTCTGGTTTCAGCCACTCACATGGTTAGACCACTTTCACTACTGAATTATCCGAGAAACGGTCACGGAAAGTACCCAACAACCCTATTATGTTTTTCCAGTAGGTAGTAGACCGTTCTGAAACGGGCAGCGATGGTTTTGTTTGTCAGTATGGTAGGATGGATCATCCTGTTAATCCCATTCCTTGATGGGGGATATGATATAATACGGTTTCACAGTGGGATTATATGACTTTATTCGTGGTCAGGCTTCATTATCGCTGTCTCATTTCTAACTCATGTAATACGCATCGGTATTTGCCCAGTGGCCTGCGTTCCTGGCATGCCTGACCGTCCGCCTCTCCCTCCACAGACGCTCGACTACATCATCTGGACCGGTGACCTTCCGCCGCACGATGTCTGGAACCAGACCCGACACGAAAACATCAACATCATCCGCCAGAGCCACCAGCTGCTGCTGAAATATTTCCCGCAGACCCCCATCTTCCCGGCACTGGGTAACCATGAGGCCGCTCCGGTCAACAGGTAAGCGCACGGAGGAGGAAGGGGTGGAGAGAGTGGGAGGGGCAGATCTGGGGACATAACCTCCAGTCGTGCCATCTCTGCTGGAGAGGTTTGCGGTGTGTGCGTTTGGTGACTGCGGAGTAAATCTCTGAGCGCGGTGCGCACAGAACCCTAGCGATCGATAATCTTGCCAGCGATGCTATGGCAGCTGTTCATGACTGGCGTAGCCCTGCAGACGCGGCCCGCTGCGTAGAGCCGATGAAAGCGTAACCGACCCACGGGAGGTCGGCGTTTCGTGAATGGTGATCGTCTGATAAAGGTCTATAGTAGGGATGGCAATGCGCCACAGTTGGATTCGGTCAGTAACTATCACACTGCGCTATCTCTCATTGTATTACTCGGTAGCAGGCATTGAACTTAGTACATAAGTGAAAGCACAGGGCTACAGTGATGCTGTTTGAAATCATTTCTGCTCATATCGTGATTGGCGGTCGCCATTCGGTCTCCTGGCTGTATGATGCCTATGTATGACGTCACGCTGTGTGTCTCTGCTTCCAGTTTTCCTCCCCCGGAGATTGGTGGCCGCCACTCGGTCTCCTGGTTGTACGATGAGCTGGACAAGGAGTGGCGTCGCTGGCTGCCCGAACAGACCTCGGCCACCGTCCGGCGAGGCGCCTTCTACTCTGTGCTCGTCAAACCCGGGTTCCGGATCGTCTCGCTCAACATGAACTACTGCAACAACAAAAACTGGTACGTGGGATGAACGATGGTCCGAAAAAGCGAACGACAAACGACGACAAATGGTGTACAGTAGATAGGAACTGGCGTGACTTTAATCACAAGTGGTACCCTGCCACTTATCATTGTCTTCTGCTAGGGATATTTTGTGCCGAGGGCAAAGCGTGCTTTGCCCTCCTCGTTGACCTGTGTTTTTCGTCGCCAGTGCTAACTCTTCCCTCCCCGTTGACCCACAGGTGGTTGCTGTTGAACGCCACCGACCCGGCCCAGGAGCTGAGCTGGCTCATTTACGAGCTGCAGTCGGCGGAGCTGAATGACGAGAAGGTGCACATCCTGGGCCACATCCCGCCCGGGCACACCGACTGTCTGGCCGTCTGGTCGAAAAACTACTACCGCATCGTCGATAGGTATGTCGCGGGGGACGGTCAAGCCTGAAACATTATATTGTGATTTGTGACTAAAGTAGTGCTGACATAGCTCCTGATTAATCGACCGGGCGAGGGAGCCAGCACTCTTTCACACGTTTATTCAGATGCTGGTATTTGATTGGGCTGACCTGGTAAACACATTCAGATCTACTACTTGTGATTTGTTTTGCATTGCATAGTTCTCGATAAAAAATCGCTCCTTAATTAACTTTTTCTTGTACCATTTCGTCAGGTGTGACTGCTGACTCCATTGTAACTCAATGCTATTGTGAAAGTGACTGGGGACATGTAGTAGAAAACTCGCATGTCACCAGACTTTTTCGACGGGTACAAATCATGCATAGGCTCCTGATTCGTGAGCACAGACTGACGGCTAACTGCAAGCCGATGACCCATCCTCTCCCAAAGACGCGCTCTCAGCTCGCTCTTCCCGGCAGGTTCTCTGGCACAATTGCCGCTCAGTTCTTCGGACACACGCATTACGACGAGTACCAATTGTTCTACGACATCCGACAGCAGTACCAACCGAACAACGTGGCCTACATAGCTCCCTCTGTGACCACCTTCTTTGACCTGAACCCCGGCTACCGGGTGTATGACGTAGACGAGGGCCACACCAAGGTTTGTTGACCGACCGATAGACGGAGGGTGACGGTGACGGATACGGCGACGGATACGGTGACGGATACGGCGACGGATACGGTGACGGTGGGGACGGGTACGGTACGGTGACAGGAACTGTAAAATGTAAATAACCCTTGACCTGACCTGCACACTACTCTTAACACCACCTACGTTTACGTCTGTGACCTGACCCTAGCGGCAGGCATCTGACCTGACCGGCGACACTCCTCTGTGACTGACCTGTGGTGACGGACATCGCACCCCGCCCCTCACCCCGCACGTGCCCTGGCCGCCCCCCTCCCCCCGTACCGGGTCTGTACAGCGGCGTGGTGCAACCCGTCCCACAGGTACTCCGGCACCATCGCCGCCCAGTTCTTTGGCCACACTCACTTCGACGAGTACAGCCTGGTGTACCCTGTGGCGGCTCCTAACGGCTCGGAGCCGGGGCCCGTGAACGCCTCGTCAGTCATGTACATAGCGCCGAGCATCACGACTTACGTCAGCCTAAACCCGGGATACCGGGTGTATGACGTGGAGCGTGACGGCAACAAGGTACTGGCCGCGGCGCTGTGTCCCCGGACCCCCGCTGCTGCCCTCCACCAGCCCGGCCCGGGGTTCAGCAGTCCTTGAATCAGTAGCCGGCCCACAGTGCCTCTGTCGCTTGAACATGGGCTTGGAGTGGCTGGCTGATCCGTAATAACTCTGTAATAACACCGGCTTTACGGGTTAACATGGATGGATGGAGAACAGAGGATGACGCATTCCAGATGTCTGCTACGCTCACTTGAATGGCTACTGTAAATATGCATGTGTTATCGTTTCCAGTGCAAATAGTTTACCACATGGAGCTGTAATTGTATTACCACTAACCTGTGTTGCTGGATTAAGAATGAATGCTTTAAAATAACTGCGATGCATGAATAATTCCTCAGCGTGTCATGTATGTTTTCAATGCAGGAGAGATTCGTCCAGCGCCGCTCCCTTCTGAGTACGTCCTAAAGGAATGTTCAGGTCTCTATCGACGATATTTATACGACAGAAACGTCTATCGGCATAACAATGCTGCACACACATCAATCTGTTTTCCGCCGCTTATTTTGATGTTATTGATGAACTTTTATATCTGTTAAACCAATGTTAAACTCTCGTGTGTCAATGTTTTGTCACATATCTACACGTCCCTCTTGCTTCAAAACAATTTGCTCAACGACCCTCCCCGGTATCCCCTCCTACCCTCCACCATACCCCTACCGTCCGACCTTGACCGGAGTTTCCCGCGGTCACCACCAGATGGTGGTGGACCATGAGACGTGGGTGATGGACCTGGACAAGGCCAACCGGTTCGGCCGGCCGCACTGGTACCGGCTGTACTCGGCGCGCAAGGCGTTCGGCATGGCCAGCCTGGCGCCGCACGAGTGGGACCGGCTGGTCCATCGGATGGCGCTCGACGAGCGGCTCTTCCAGAAGTACTACCGGTGAGAGTAGTGGGAGGAAGGGAGGTCGGGGAGGTCGAGTGAGAGAGCTGAGGGTGTTGGTGTTTATATCTCGCTAAGGGTAATGTGATGATGGCGTTCCAGCTATCTTGACAATCGATTGAGTTATTGGTAATTGACATCGTTTTTGCCACAGGTTTTACATGAAGGCGTCGCCGGTGCGGCCCAAGTGTGACGCCGAGTGTAAGAAGCGGCTGCTGTGTGACATCGTGTCGGGACGGTCCAACGCCAGACAGGTGAGGACTATCTGCGACATTGCTGGTCTCTCTACAGGCTGGTCTGATGTGATGCGCTGCCTGGCAGAAGAGCCGCCCTGTACCGCTGAGGTTCTTATTGATATGTAGCATGGAAGTTTTTGCACATCTGTAACCCTCGTACTACATATCTTTTATCGTATCGAGGGTGGTTGATGACTGGAGAATTCAACTCAGTTGCCTCCCGAGCTTGTGCTCCACGAGTCTGACCATAAACCCGCGTTTTTCCTCAGTTCACCTGCAAACGGTTGGAGAAGCAGTTCGAGAAGGCGCAGAGCCGCGCCGGCTGGATGGCCCGGATGGGCGACTACCTGGGCATGACGTACGATTTCTTCATGTACCCGATGCACGCCGGCTGGCGCCACCTGCGCAGCTGGGTCGGATAGTGGCGCCACCTACTGACAGATGGCGGCGCCTCTGCCGGCCAGCCGGCAAACTTCTCACTCTGTTCATTTATCGACCTTTCTTCTCACACTTCTATTCTCTACCTATTTCTTGTGACACAAAGCTGACCTAATTTAAGACATAAATGACACATATTTTTCCTCGCCTTTTGGTATGTCTTTTAGCGTTGTGATGAAGATGCATGCGAAATGAATGACCATATGCTGCATGAATGACGATGAACGTAAGCGGTCTTTACCGAGTCAATATTTGAAGAAGTGACATTGTGTGTACTGGCGCTATAAACCATAGAATTTATAGCTGCTCTCATCATCAGAGATATCACATTGTGTCCACATAGCAACGCTGTACCAGATTGGTAGTGTAGGAGTCGTGACTCGTCTGTTAATCATCACATAGGGTTAATATTTTATTATGGATCGTTCATAATGTGTCCTTGCTCAGAGGGAGGTCGGTTTGCGGTCTGCGTGACGTCATCTCTCCGAGTCGCCGGTCGGCGTCTGTACGCCGTTGCCATGGTTACCGTGATCGCAGCGTGTTCAGAGTGATTGCGGACGGAGATTACCGCAGCAATATGACGTATGGTGTTCAATAAGTACCTTTGGGTGCAGTGGTTACGATGGGGTCGTGTGAACGTGCAAATAAACCGTGTTTTAAGTCGTGATACTTGTTATAAGCTCTGACATGTGACGTTAGTTCAGCTTCAGCATGCTTGATTATCTTGGAACGATAAGTCAGACCGATTTGTCTGCAATTGCGATTTATCTTTCTGTACTTTTCTTCCCAACTACCCTACTTCCACAACTGATGTGGCTTCCACACTGCGGAACTAGCATGCGACTTGGTAAGTTCATCTATTTCTCTACCATATGCAATACATACATTCTTCCACTTTCTATGAATGCCATCATGCTGATCTAATATCTAACTACTTATGACCTGACAGCGCCGATACTAATATCGATGCTTATGTCTGAGTCATGCTCGTAAGCTAACTAAGCTGTAGGCCTATCATAGCTAGTTATAGCTAGTTTATGATTTCTTCACTCGTTTCACTAAATTTGTGCATGATGCTATTACTTCTTATTAGTTTTCAAGCATCCAAAGTATACATTATCGTAGTACATGCTCTTTATTAAGCAGTCGTGTTTCTTGAGGCAAAATTCACCAGATAATTGGTTCAGTAATGCATCAGGCTGGTTTTCTGGCTAAATATTTGGAGTCGCTTTTGCTAACACAACGGCACTGCAATATTGTGATCCGATCTTGACGTGCCCTTTCGATTTGAATTGGCCTGACCTGACCTCGCGTGCCGTCCGTTTCAGGCCGTTTGTGATCGGTGCGATCATGATCAGTGTACCTCTGCTGTACTTTACCGTCGGATGAAAATGCTGGAGTTTTGTATTGGCCCCGGTGGGATAGGCGGATAACAGTCTCTTTCTCGTCGGTGTCGACTCCGGTGCCAACTCTCGTCACCATCGGACTACATAGAATGGAGCTCAAAGATCAGCGCTGGTGAAAGGCGTGTATAAAATCAATCGATGCATAATTGTAATCGGTACAGTACGGTGGAACCAAGACCGGTGAACGAAGGCAGCTCACGAAATATTCACGGTGGTTTGTATCCAGTCTCCTGCCGGTTTGATGCCATGCTGCGACCGCGCAAAGTTACCATGTGCAGGAGAGGGCGCTCGGGTCCCGTCCGTGGTTTGGTGCCGACGGGTGAGCGCGATAACCTAGTCACTGTGAATGGACTGCGAGTGGATGTAGGACAGTTTGGGTACGGAGGGAGCCGCGACAGTGGCCCGCGTCTGTCTGGGAAGAGCTGAGGCTGGGGGTGAAACTGTGCATGCCTGTGACTGGGTAATAGAGACTGAGTGAGTTCAAAACTGAGACTGCTGTTGCTGATTGATCCCACAACTGAGTTTGTGTCTTGAGACCGTCTTTGAGACCGCAGCTGGCACCTGTGGATCATTAGACTACTTGCGAAGCAAAGTCTGAATCTGTAAATGCGTATTGATTTCGACTCGTGTAATTTGGACTGTGTGAGTTCGAAGATAAGCCCAATTGATGCGTGACTGCGAGGTAGGTATATCAGTGTAAATACTCGTCTGAAAAGATGGGTGGCGTTTCGGGTTTGCGGTTATGTGACGATGTCGTGACTCGTGAGGAAAAGGAAAATGTTTTAGGAATTGTGTAAGTCAGCGAGATTGGCATTAGGGAAACGCTACCCTTCTTGGGCTAACGTCGTTTTGCAACGATGCACTGATGAGTGGATGCGAGTCGCATGTAACATTCCAGTTTTGACAATGCTCAGCCTATGTGAGCTGATTATTGTATTAGTTGTGACTCAGCATTGGTTTGTGTGGACTGGACCGTAGCATAGTTATAGGTGACGTGGTGGGACAAGGCACCCCTGTTTTAATATAAGATAATGTCGACAACGAACATGTTTTTGAACGTATATTAAATGCTGTCGTGAAGGGCATTATCCAGGTTTGTTCTCAGCCGATTTCGGTGTTTCAGTCTGTCCTTCGTGCAAAGATAGTAGTGCGAGACGTTGCCAGGCAGTAACTTTTCATGGTTTTGCAGGTGTTAGGCTATTCTACGATTTCGTTGACGAGGTATATGTAGTTTTGCGAATGTTTGCGGTCGCTCGAAGCTAATTTTAGCCTTGTTTGTTCCCTTGCCAATCCGATGGCCTTGTCATGGGATGGACAGTTGTAGCTTTGCAACGAGTCAATCCCACCACAATTCCAGGGAATGATCTGGCCACCATCCGTCGCTTGGTCGCCTTGATCTATTTTTTGCTTTGCTCGGTTCAAATTAACAGCTACCTTCCTAGTTATAATGTGTGCCAATTTCAGTCTGAGTGAGTATGATTTCTAGTCAATATAGACACAGTATAGGAAAGGGTGGTTGTTCACAGTTTTTTTTATGCTACTTCTGATATGTCGGTACAGACTACGGACCATACTTGAAGCATGAAATGACACCTACAACATGTATAAAAAATGACGACCATTTCAAACCGTCCTGGCTGACGCCTGTGATCAGTAGGCCCTGACCGGCTTCTTGCAGATGTGCCTCTCCGCGCACGTGTCGAAGCAGCACTTGTCGCTGGGGGCGCACTGTCCGTCGTGCGCGCACTTGGTGAAGAACACCTTGCGGGGGCAGAGTCCACGTACCACGGGACAGTCGCCGCCGTGAATATCCCCTGCGGCAAACGTCAGGCGGTGGTCAGAGACTGATGAATGATGAGGGGAGGAGAGCCGGGAGTCGAAATCTGAGCCGAATGACAGCAGCAAGGCAGATAACTACAGGGCGGTGGAGAGTTTAAAGGAAATAGTTCACTTTTTAACATGGGTTTTGAACTGGAATAGCAGTTCCGTAGCTTGGGCTGAGACGAGCATAAATCAGGAGCTTTTACAGCCCAACGGCTTCGTTGGGCTTTTACAGCCCAACGATCACCCTAGGCAAAGATATTCTATTTCTCGTCCCGAAAAAGGTGTATTGCGTTGAGGATGTGTGCCTTGCATATATTCGCATCCAGTATGAAAAGAGCATGGGTCCCGAAAATTCTTCAGAAACTAGTGAAATTATCTACGAGAACTCAAGAGAAATTCTCGTACTGATCAATAAGGACATTCAGCAGCAGCAGATCGCCCAAATGCCGGTGGCCGCGATAATTTCTCTAGTTTCTGAAGAATTTTCGGAACCCATGCTCTTTTCATACTGGATCGCCTGTGCCTTACAGAAACTGAAAAGTTCTTCTTATATCAAAATATAGAAAATAATCTTTTGTTATAAATAGGTTTTATTTTCTTTGCTGATCATTTTGAACATAAAAAATCATAAATCCATTGCAAAAAAAAATAATTTCGTGAAAGTGAACTATTTCCTTTAATGGGTGTCGATCATACTGAGGCTCAACAATAAAATACTAAAAGATCCAGTATCCACATTCAGGCATTCTTCTTCGGGACAATGGGCGTGAATAATTTGTATCCGAATTCTAGCCACGTGCGTGTTACCGGGTAAGATTTCAAGAGAGATGTAAATGTTCCCCATAAACTTGCCCCTCAAGCCCCGGTCTCATTAGTGCCAGCAACACTAGGTCCGTTCTCCTCATCCCACCCAGCGATGCACGTGGACCACTCACACTCAGCCTCTGCGTTCGTGCCGTCGTCGCAGCAGTAGAGTGCGTCGCGGTGCGGGTGACGGCACAGGTACCGGCAGGTGGCACTGTCCGGGGTTTGGCCGGCGATCGGACGGTTGTTGATCACCTCCTGGTTCACTGCAGGGGACAGATAGGGACAAATATTAGCCTCACGGAGAGTGAGAGAGAGAGAGAGAGAGAGAGAGAGAGAGAGAGAGAGAGAGAGAGAGAGAGAGAGAGAGAGAGAGAGAGGGAGAAAGAGAGAGAGAGAGAGAGAGAGAGAGTCGGTGCAGTCTGCTTTCAGACTCTGAGACTTTCGTGAATACAGTCTGTGAAGAGCTCAGTGGACGACGATATCGCTCGCGACTCACCGTTTAAAGTTGAACTCACCGATGCCGCCCGTCTCGTCATTCGTGTTGATGATGACGACGCCCTCGTGGCCGGCCTGGACGTTCACCAGCGTGCCGTCGACGTTCTGCTGCAGCTGGCTGGAGTTTATGGTGACCTGGTTGTCGGAGCTCTGTCTGCCGCCACTTCCCCCACCCTCAGCCTTCTGCAGGCTCTGAATGGTGCCCTGGTTGACGGTGCTCTGTGTGGCTCCGCCGAGACCGGTCTGTTTCTGTACGGAGACGGCGCCCGCCTCTCCCCGGTTGGTCTGCTGACCGTCACCGGTGGAGTTCTGAACACTGGTGGCGTGCGTCTCACCTGGGGACGATAATACAAATAATGAGAAAAGAAAAAAGCCAATTAAAGTATCCTTGTTTAGCTCCCAACAGTAGGGAAAGACATAATTGTCCCCTATGCGTTTGTAAATGCGTGCGCGTATATCCGTGAACTGTACTCGGGATATGGGTATTTACCTAATAAAATGACTGAAGAAATGTCTGTCAAAAGAATTTAATCTCATGCAAACACAACAGAACAAGTAAACAAAAACATTTGTCGGTTTTTCCTGTCCGGTTTTCCCAGTTTTTGTTCACGCTATTCTGTGCCGCCATCCCTGTCGTACCGCCGTAACTGCAATGTTGCACGGTGCTCTGGCTCACCGAACTGCACGCTGCTGCCGACCGGTGGGCTGGGTGTACGTCGACTGTCGGTAAAGGTGATGGCTGATTGACTCCGACCCGAGCTCCGTCTGCCGTAGTAGGATCCGGAGGTCGCCAGAGACACGGCCAGTGCCGCTACCAGGATCTGCAGAACCGACTTCATCTGCCGATAAGAGTAAAGTTTTTTTAGTGATCAAGTAAAAAGGACATTTAACGTACAAAAAGGACAAAAAGGACTACTATTATACATTAGCATTGCATTATATTTAATAAACACTTTCATTCATTGACTGTACTAGCGACAGATATAGGAATGCAATCTAACCTAGCTAAGCTACAGAAACTAAGCAGGACCCGTCAACTTTTGGTCAGACCACTAGCCCTTGTACGAAAGCATTTATCTTTCCTGTAGTAGGCGAAATCCATTAGCATCGCTTTTGACACATCGTCATGCCATGCCTCCCGGTGCAATATGTCCTCAACTCGACTTATTTACACGTCGCCCAGCCCACAGTGTGTTGTGCGGGCTGCCTAACCGACAGGCGCGCTGTGTAGTGCGGGTTGCCTACCCGACAGGCGCGCTGTGTAGTGTAGTGCGGGCTGCCTACCCGACAGGCGCACTGTGTAGTGCGGGTAAATAACTGCCTAGCCGTCAGGGTTGTGGTGTTTTGCAGGTTGCCTACCCGTCAGGCGCCGAGTGTGTAGTGCGGGGTGCATAGCCGTCAGGCGCGCTTTGTAGTGCGGGTTGCCTAGCCGTCAGGCGCGTGGAGTTTTGCGGGTCGCCTATGCCATCAAACGAGCTTTATTGTGCAGGAGTCCGGCAGCCGGCATGATAGCCGGCCTTCCGGCCTTATTATTTCGATAATATTTTAGCCTATGAAAAAGTGTTGTCTTAGATCTGCCCGTAACATATACTCACAGCTAAGTGCTCCCTATGCAGGTGTGCGCTGCCGTCTTCCGTTCCCGTCTGTGTGCACTGCGCACGTGCCTCGCGACCGTGTTCCGTCCGGCACTGACCCAATCTATCACTGAGACGGTCGGGACGGAGGCACGGAATGTTATACCTGCCGCCGACGCTGCGGTGAGACGGTTTCCACCGCGACCGCGCGGAAAGGCCCACTCAGGGTCGGCTGGTCAGCGAGCCAGCCGCCCCGCAGTCCCCCGCGGTACAGAGGTGTTCCGGCAGAGCGGATAATGACAAACCGGTGCGCACGTAAACTGACGGGGACAGTGAGGGGGCTGTCCCATATCACAGGTCCAGGCTTAAGTCGGTAGTTGCAGTAGGTACTCTCGAGAATGCAATGCTGCACATATTGCACATTGTGCAACCGATGAAACAGCATTTTAACAAAATTGTCACGCAATCTCATAGTTTCTGTTTCCTGAAAGCGCATTGTTTTTATTCCTGAGCGTGGAGCAATGTTGTTTGTGCATGAAGCATGATTCAGCCTTTATGATTTAAATCAACACCAATACATAATTACTTTACACAAATGAGTCTGATTCAACAAAGCCATCCGGTATATTGGCACAACACGATAAGGCCAAACAGCGCAAAATTACAGTCCCAGAATACATCGTTCGACATCCTGGCTCGAGCGACACGCTTGAGCCACGCATCACAAACACACGAGCACCGAGTACCGTTTCTGGCGGTTACAGGAAGGGGACCTGACAGACGTGGTGCCGCGCGCAGCCATTGTAGCAGCACACCTCTTCCTCAGTGCACTGGCTGTCGAAGGCGCACTTTGTGTATGACGTCTCGTCGTCGTCCTCACATAGCTCAGGCATTTCCGGACACTCCCCGTCGTGATAGTCGGCTACGGGAACAGACGGAGACGTGATCAGTGAGATGGGAACTTTGAAAGGTGGAGTGAACTTATGCTATCACTATGAAGGAGAAAATTGGTTTATAGCGAATGCATGGCCAGGCCATAACCCATCGATACAAATAATACAAGGACTTTAATGTTGACACATCACTCACCGAGTTCTAGTAAAATATTATTTGAATGCGAACGCACATACAATTTGTGTGATTGATTTAAGCTCATACTCACATGTTCCGAGGTCCTGGTTGTTGCCGAAGTCGCAGCAGTAGAAGGTGCGCTCGATGCGCCTGAAGCAGAAGTAGCGGCACGTGGCGCTGTCGTCCGTCACCTCTCCCAGCGGACGGTCGTTGATCACCGTCTGCTCCACTGCGGAACAAATAGTGAGGCACACATCAGATTAATGTGTACGGGGCTGCAGTCTCCCTGCAGGGCCTGCACTTTACGCGGTAGATTATAGAAGCCGATGTTCGCCGTTCTTCTTATCCACAACATGCACTATTGTCAAACGCATAAAGTTATCCATAGCTTCACGCAGTACACTTATGTTGAGGCATATTTACGAATGATGTCTCACATCCAGGCACGCGTGTCGCGTATATATTTTCTCAAGGATGCTCACCGATTGCTCCGGACTCGTCGTTGGTGTTGATGATGACCACGCCCTGGTGGCCCTCCTGGACGTGCACGAACGTGCCGTTGGCGTTCTCCTGCTCCTGCGTGGCCTGCACGTTCACCTGTGTGTTGGACGCCTGCTGGCCGTCACCGGTGCCGTTCCCAGTCAGCTCCTGCAGCGTCTGGATCACGCCCTGGTTGCTGGTGATCTGGGAGGCGTTGGTCAGGCCGTCCTGCTCCTCGATAAAGAAGAGAGCGTCGCCGGATACCTCCAGCTCGGCGTCAGACTCGCCTGGCAATCACACGCAGATACAAACATTAGCGACTGACGGTCGTCGTGGGTGAGGCATGGAGTGCAGAAACTATAGAATGGTATTTGACCACAATTAGTTTTTTATCATCTGACATCTCCAGATTAGTGACAATTAGTATCACCTTGAACCTTCCAAAGATCTTACCGGGCCCGGCCAAATCATCAGCGTTGATGATGACGACTCCCTCGAGGCCGGTCTGGACGTTGACCAGCGTTCCGTTGACGTTCTGCTGCAGCTGACTGGAGTTGATGTTGATCTGGTTGTTGGAGATCTGCTCGGCGCCGCCGGCAGTGCCGTTGGCCTGCTGTAGGGCCTGTATGACGGCCTGGTTGCTGATCTCCTGCACGTTACCTCCGGGCCCGCCGGTCTGCTCTCTCTGCAGGGACGCGGCCTGTGCCGAGCCCTGGTTGGTCTGCTGACCCTCGCCGCCGGTGGAGCTCTGAACGCTGGTGGCGCTCGTCTCACCTGTAGGATGGACGGACATCTAAAGACTGAAAACTGTCCGTTGACGGTTGAGAGTTTTCGCAGCACTCTGGATTGTTAGTTGAAAGGAGGTGTCGGATAACGGCATTTATATTTTAGGAAGTTAAGTTATTAAACTTTTTTTTGCCCTGTATCCGACTTGCATGACTACATTCTATCGTTTGAATAATTTTTAAATTATATGAAACGATAGTTTGTGTTATCAAAATTACGCAACACATATGCCTGTTGAAATATGCATGCCTGCACCGGAGTTCTATGCCATTATTTTTTTTCGTGCTCACCAGCCTGGAAGCTGCCTCCGCCTCTCCACATATTTTCGTCGAAGGTGATTGAAGACCCGCCACCACCCTGGGAGTCCTGAGTGGCGAGCGGCCCCGCAGCGACCAGGGTCACCAGCAGCACCAGCGTCAGGCTCCGGAGCACCAGCCGCATCTGTGGGGAGGGGTACGCTGAGATAATGCTCACAGATCTGCGTTACTTCATTGCTTCGTGCATTGCTTTACATAGACGGGCACCAACGGTAGCTGCCTTTGTCATGATCGGTATTATTATTTTTACTAGGCACATTTTAGCGTAGTTTTACCGCAGAATATTAAATATCATCAATCTTATGGAAACAACAATAAACTAAGCGGGTAGGTATAATGCACTTACTTTGTGCGTGTAAAAAGTATGCGCTGCCTTCTTCTGCCGTCCGTTCCTGTCTTTCCACGTGTCACCGTCCCCTGATCCGTCCGGTACCGGTCCAATGCGTCACTGAGACCGTCGACGGACCAGTGGCAGATGATATAGCCGACACGCTGCACTGCGCTGCTACGAGCGAGCCGAACCGAGTGTTTACTGTTGATCGGCAGGTCGCAGGGCTTGCCAATGTTTATATTAACGCGTGCCGATCTGCAGTGCAGGCGTCACTGACGTGCAGGGGGGCCGGGAAACCGATGTCATGGGCTGTGTGTCGATGCTAATGACCCTCCTTTGAGTAAAAGAGCAGCGAAGTTAAAAGGCACAAGCGAAGGTTAGCCCTTAAACCCTTAAGCGCAAGCATGATTAAATCTTAATATCATATATCTTCTTGTTTCTTTTTCTGTCTATCCGCTTGTCTAGGTTTGTTTGTCGGCTCTTTCGGTACCTACATATCTGTATTATATAGAATAAGATAAAGCAAATGACCCATCAAATGGAATCCGGCAATCGCTGGAAACGTTTGATTCCTCTGTGTTCATCGCCTTACAGTCTTCCGTTAAATGTGTCTCATTACGTGAAATTTATGACGTCTCATTTGACGTCACATTCCACAAAACGCGTGTTATGCATTGGATTCATCAAATGTAATGCATGGTGACGATTGAACTGTGATCACTTGTACTGGGCGATTTGCGCTAACTGCGTCATGCTCACGTCATTGGATTTGGATAATTTCTAAACACTGAAAACCCACAGTCTTGCTGCGAGTGTTGCACGGCTGCTCTAGACGTAAACACTAGCCTCTCGTTGAGGGAGACTCAGCGGGGCCGGGCGTCGGCTATAACATCTACCCATGGTCCGACGGAGGCCTCAGTGGCAGATCGAACCAGTAACGAACGGACCCGCGTCAGTAACACGTGAACGAACGGAACTGAGGACGGAAGACGGCAGAGCACGCATACGGACACAGTGAGTGACTGTTAAACCATTTATTTTCTCTACGTTTTCATTTTCGTCTTAATGATTTCTGTATACCGTTCACGAACAATGCTGAAAATAGCGCATGCTTTCACAGATTTAAGTGCATAATGTTTAGAGTCATCCCTTACACTAAACCATTCCCAGTACAAACGATGCTGCAGCATTCAAGCTAATCACATAACGAAAGAAATAACACCGCAGCTACAGCGCCCTTTGTGGTATATTTACTTTATGGTCTTTCCGGTGTCATGGTGTCAAAGAAAACAGTTAACACTTACCGCTGAACTAAAATCTAACATGACTCAATGCATAACTCTACTAAATTTACGTTTAGATGGGCTTTCGTCCTTACCCACTGGTGAGCTTAATCCATCGCTAATTGCTCGGTAGCTCTTGAACACGTTCTAGCCCTCATGCAACATGTGCCGCACGACACACAGCGCGCCTGTCGGCTATAGCCAACCCGCAAAACTCCGCGCGCCTGACGGCTAGGCAACCCGCACTACACAACGCGCCTGACGGCTATGCAGCCCGCACTACACAGCGCGCCTGATGGCTAGGCAACCCGCATAACACACAGCGCGCATGTCGGGTAGGCGGCTCGCACAGAACGCGACTGAGTGAATGCGCTTGCCAAACGGAATATTGGATTTGTATTTGCCCCAAAGCCGTGTGAAATGTTCAGATTTCATCCCTGTGCTGTTGGGCTGTTGGCTGCAGGCCTGAATGCATTCAAGCGTGAAATGAACGGGAAGATACCTAGTGTATGAAAGGTAACCACCGTGCAGAAACGTGTTTAGGACTACTCGAATGTTCAAGCACTTGCTCTAGGTGACGTATTAACCATGTGGGCTGTCTGGTCGCAACGGTTCTCGTCCAGAGCATCGACATTCGGGGTAGTATGACTATGAGGGGCAGCGGTGAAAATCTCGTGTGATTGAATATCTATGTGCGAATGCTAATCATTTTTGGGCGATGCATGATGTATTGTACACATTCTAATCGAGTCGTTTACGTGTTTCTATGACAGTACATACAACGCCAGCGTACCCCTCCCCACAGATGCGGCTGGTGCTCCGAAGCTTGGCGCTAGTGCTGGTGGTGACTCTGGCCGCTGCGGGGCCGCTCGCCAGTCAGGACTCTCAGGGTAGCAGCGGGGCCAACATCGTCTTCGGCAGCCGGCGGCAGGGTGAAGGCGTAGGGACCAGCTCCCAGTTCGGTGAGCACAGGCGAGAAAGGAGCGAGAGCTCGTGTTTACCGTTAGTTCGTAAATGAGGTCAATAAATCTTTTAGCATATGCCGAAGTATGCCTTTAGCATTAGCGCGAGCGTGCGGTAAAAGCTTTTTGGATTAAACCGCATAATGTTGAAGTCAATTGAGCAAAGGTTTCGGCCCATGGGCAAAACATTTTATCAGCGAGATTTTGTAGCATTTCCTGAGGCGGAGGAAGGTGCTGGAAAAGAGCTTAACTGATAGAAATCTAACGTGAACTTACGTGTTGCATTTGGTCGCTTTGAACTATTGAACAGATTGTAAATGTTGGTTTTCAAGATAATATTTTACATCCTAATGTACAGACAGATTAATAAATCACCTACATTTATAGCGTCAATTTCATGCCTTTTACAACTGCAATGAATTGACAAAAAACGCATTTCACATTGATCAGTAAAAACTTTATTCGTATTGACATGGGTAAAAAACCAAGCGCTCACTTCACAGGATTGTATACCTTCCACTCTTCTCTAATATTGAAAACAAACGTTACTCTAGCTTCTCATATGACATAGATTTAAGTAGGTGTTTTTGGTTTGATATGAATCCAACTCAGAACCAGACACAAGGATGGAACACAGTGATCTTGAGTCGGCTTGGTTTATTATCTTGGTCAGGGAATATGTACATTTTTAGTTCTTGATATTCTGTCTTGGTTTTTCCACTTCTTTCAAGCATTTACAATTGTTAAAGAAGCTTAAATATGGAAATTAAACGGCATATGCTAAAATAAATATCACACTTGGGCCGGAATGTTTCATTCAGGAATCAGGACCTCGGGCTTTGTTGAATTTTCCGCCCTCGACCTTCGGTCTCGTGCGGAAAACTCAACAAATCCCTCGGTCCTGAATGAAACATTTTACCGGCCCCGTGTGATATTATATATTATAGCACAACACAGTGCGTAATCGTACGAGTGCCTATATTTTGCGTAGAATGTATGTAGGTACTGAAACTCAGTTTTAAACCCAAAAAATATTTTTTTTCCGAAATATTTTAACAAAACTAAGCAGCTTTTCGACCCAATTTGTCTGTTTCTCTCTCCCACTCTCCTCTCCGAATCATTTTCATGGTCGATTGTTTTATTCTTTGAAGCTCTATGTAACGTCCGTCCTTAGGGCTGGACTAATAGCGTCATTATTGTCCCCAGGTGAGACGCACGCCACCAGTGTTCAGAACTCCACCGGCGACGGCCAGCAGACCAACCGGGGAGAGGCGGGCGCCGTCTCCATGCAGAAACAGACCGGTCTCGGCGGAGCCACGCAGGCCACCAACAACCAGGGGGCTGTCCAGGCCCTGCAGACCACCGGCACGGGCGGCAGCGACGGCAGCAGCGACGGCAGCGACAGCGGGAGTGGAGGAGCCGGTCGGCAGGTGTCCAACAACCAGGTCAACATCGTCTCCAGCCAGCGGCAGCAGAACGTCGAGGGCTCGCTCATTAACGTCCAGGGCGGAAACAAGGGAGTCGTGATGGTTAACAGAAAGAAGCCGGGCCAAGCCAGAGGTAAGCGATGCCCCAGGATGAACATCGAATGCTCGTTATGAGCTTTTTGTTCTTGTTGGTGCTAGAGAGAAAACTTAGCTGTAAACAACAACGAGAGTAACAAATACTTGCGCTTACATTTTAATGGGATGATCGTTGACAATTTCAACAAATGATTGAATCGCGGATAAATACATATTGGGGTGTTCGTAAATGCACAATTAATCATATTGGTGTAAACCATACATTATATGGCCTCATACCAGTTACTTCACGTGTCGGTTGTTTTCAGCTTTGGGAATGGGAGGCTCCCTTCAGATGCCTGACGCTCACCAGACATCTCGAGACAACACTCTCCTCCAAATAATGGATAACAACGAGATCATCCTCGTCATAACCGCCAATAAAACCGAAAGTAAGGACAGGATTTTTTAAAGCAAATCTGATGCCACAGCATCTATAGAACTTAGTACTTAAAAGTCACCCATATTTATCAACTCACTTTGATATGTAAGTCATTATACCTATCATTTGCGCATCATGATAAATGTGTTCGCTTCAACCGATATCTTACCCGCTCAAAGGAATTACAGACTTTTGTAGTGAGTATGTTATTTAATGATAAAACGGAAAATAATGCAAAAAACTCGTGTAAGTTGCGCTCAACACAAGTCCATGGAACGGAAAGTAAATTCTAACCTTACGGCACCTTAGCACATCTCCCACGCCTCTGACCGCTCTCTGTGTGAACGTTTCAGAGATCGTTCAGCCTGAGCCGATACCGGAGGGTCCGAGCTGCCGATACTTTTGTATCCGGCCCACCACCAATGAGCCCTACTGCTGCGACGACGGCACCAACAGGGCTGGGGACCGTAAGTAGATACATGCATGATAAATCAATATGCGTAATTAGTGTACATCAGATGCAAAGTAAATAAATGACCTGCAAAGCAAAGAAAAGCCCAAATGCTAAGATAAGATACCGTAATGAAATGCGTACTTATCGGGAACGTTTCTCCCGCCACCCTTGATCAGTAATGTAGCATTTTAGGTTCCTCGCATTTCGCATAATGTGCCGAAAGGCCAAACTCTTGTTGGCGTGCCTGAGGTTTCTAACCACCCTCTCTCCCTCCTCCACAGCGTCGATTCACGGCGGCAAGTGTCCCCGTCTGCGTCTGCTCTGCATCAGGTTCTCCTTCTTCAACAAGTGCGCGCACGACGGCCAGTGCGCGGCCAGCGACAAGTGCTGCTACGACGCCTGCATCGACATGCACATCTGCAAGAGAGCTGACCCCATCTAAACTCACTTTCAACTGTGAATAGATGGTCGGACGTGCCTTACTGGGAACCTTTACCTCAGTGATTCGTCCGCGGCTGCATGTGTGCGCTTGCCGGTCAAGATCGCTCATCGCTGGCAAACTGATTGATATGGGACGCATGTAGCTGTAGCGACAATAAAGTTAGCGCTGATTTCCTTTACAAAGAGTGCCGCGATGTTCGCAAATTGTGTTACCCATCAAAGTGTGTCATATAAGGCTTCAACATAAGTGGCAAGAAACTATCAAAAGTAATGATCGATCGAAGTAATTAAGTGCGACCATGAGGCTGGCCATTAATTTTATCAATTCAACGCATGATAAGCCTGTATAGTCAAGTTATTGTACGGTTGCCTAACGGCGAAAAAGGTAAGACATTTCAAAGCCCTCAGTCACAAGCAGCGCCCTCTCGAAGATGACCAGCTAGCGAAGCCGAGAAGGCTACGCTCACTGCCCAGCTCAATCAGCTAACCCATCCACTAGATAAAGTACGGAGCATCACCTTTTGTGATGAAGCAAACTATTTCTGATTTGCTTTAGAAGCTATGAGAATCTGCCTCACTCCCGAGACCAACAACGTGTCTACGCACAACATTTGGCAGACTGTGTGACCAATATTCCATCCACGTTCACTAGCTCAGAAAAATAATATTAAAAAGGTCGTGTATTACTTTCACCACACTGAGTTGTACAAAAATGACACACCCGTCAGATCCAACATTAACATCCAACACCTGGTCCTTCCAGGCCACGGCGCCCGCGCCATCACGCGCCGATCATGCCATATAGCAGTTTGATCTCTCGCCGGTAGATGCCGTCGTCGACGTACGGCGTCTCGAGCACTATCGGTAGCCGCTGGAAGCGCGGGTCGGCCAGCACACGCATTATACCGGCCTTTCCAATGGTGCCCTTGCCAATATTCTCGTGACGGTCCTTGTGACTTCCGACAAGACCTGAAATCAGACAAAAAGTCATATGACAGGTCAGTTGACTGGTCAGATGACAGGAGAGCACAGCAGACAATGGGAAGGACGAGAGACGAAGTCAGCAGACAATGGAACAAACCGAAAGGAAACGGCCCCCCCACCCTAAAAAAACATTCCGTCTCTCATATATCCTTTCGGGAGACGGATCTCGGTGTACCAGGACTGAACATGAGGTGACCTCCCCAGTCCCGCCGCTCACTCCAACCCCTCCCCTTCTCCAACGGAGGACCGATTCGCAGCCTCTCCGATCCAGAGGCGGTATTTCGCCGGCGCCGTCATAGTCAGGTGCCTCCCGCCGTCCAATAGCCGGCCCACATACATCAGTGCAGGGGCAATAAATTACCAACAACCGATTAACCACGGCAGAGTGGGTGGGGGGACGGGCGGGGAGCCGAAGAGGAGACGGCAGGACGGGGAGCAGGCTGGGCTGCTCTCGCTGAATTACTTCAAACAGTCTCTCATGAGTCTGACTAATGTCTCCCATCAGACGGCCGCGATCGCACCAGCGACCGGCCCGCTGAGTGATATTGAGTGCTTTTAAGCCATTGTCCCCATTGTCTCAGCAGCCTTCTCGCCTTCGCTCATCCGATCGGCTCAGCAGTCGCCACAGGACGCGTAATTACTAGTCTACGCTGGCCAGTCTGCTTCGCGATGGACCATTCCGTTTCTAAGGCCTTTACAGAGGAATATCTTTAGAGACTGACGTCACTATTATCAGAAAGGGGCATCACTGACGTCACCATTCGTTTGATTGAGACACTCACTTTTCGAGTCATTGAGGTGGACGGCGCGGAGTCTGTTCAGGCCCAGGACGGACTCAAAGTCAGCCATCAGCATGCTGAAACCGGCCTCGGTCGATAGGTCGTACCCTGTGGTCAGGGGAGGTGGGTCAGCCTCTAGACAGAGCGGGGGGGGGAGAGAGAGAGAGAGAGAGAGAGAGAGAGAGAGAGAGAGAGAGAGAGAGAGAGAGAGAGAGAGAGAGAGAGAGAGAGAGAGAGAGAGAGAGGGAGAGGGAGAGGGAGAGGGAGAGGGAGAGGGAGAGGGAGAGAGGGAGAGGGAGAGGGAGAAGGAGAGGGAGAGGGAGAGGGAGAGGGAGAGGGAGAGGGAGAGGGAGAGGGAGAGGGAGAGGGAGAGAGAGGGGGAGTAAGATGGAGGAGAGATGGACATTACATAGCACGTCAGTCGTCACGTAGAGGCGAAGGCACACGTATGCACACATACCCAAAACTTATTGAAAAAGTTTGCAGTTTACGGATTAAAAGAGCCAGTAGAGTCAAAGTCAGCGGCAACAGTGTAAGTTAAGTTTGAACCATGTAAATGTAACAAGTAGTTACTTCGTGGAGACTTGGCGCAACTTTAATAAAACCAAGTAAGCATGAATTCATATTATTATTATTATAATGAAACTTTATATTTTCTTTCACATTGATATTAAATAAAGAATATATTTTTTTGGTGCAAAAAATATTTTCGCGTGATAACTTGGCAACTAGTAAAATCTCATTTTATTATTTGGGAAAAATATAACTATATAACCCCTCGGCACACTGGCAGAGTAGTTTCCTTGACAGATGCCGAGTCACTCCATGTCTAACAAACACCCGAACATTCAGCGTCACATACACAGACAGAAGCACCGCCGAGAGCCTCAGCATTACATTTGGGGTTTACAGTCACAGCCGAAACTAAAATGTGTGTGCAACGTGCCAATTACGGATGGTACATCAACACAAAAGGCTTCAAACTTGTTGTATGTTAGTGTACTATACTGTAAAACAGACCCATGTTCTTTCCTTCATCAGCATAAATTAAAAATAGGAGTAAACGTTTTGCGAGTGAGAGAATATTCAGTTCCGTGAATGCCGCTCCACGTAAAATTTGTATGAATTTCTTTCCATCTCAGCTGTCAACAGCACGCTACATAGGCATGATTAGTGTCAGAAGGGCGATTTATTAGGGCTCACTATTACGCCGGCTCCTGACACCTCTGATTTACACTAACAAGGCTCCAATGAAATGCTTCATAACTCAAAGATAACTTTCGACACAACTTCAGAAGGTCCCGACATGTTTGCTATCTCAGCTAACATGCCTATTGACATCACTTGCAACAAGGCCAAAGTTTGACATGTCTTTACTGAGTTGTTCAAGTACGCCGTCAACACAGCGTGGTACGGAGCGCAGTAGGGTAAGTCGCAAGGTACGCCACCGAGCCAACCTGTGCGACACAGTACACGGTTCGATCCGGTGCGGTACGCACGCCGCAGCACGCTCCAGTGCAGCTATCACAGTGCAAGGAACACGGTACACCTTACCACACGGCATGGCAATGGTACGGTACGACACGGTACGCGCTACCAAACGGTACGGCACGTTGCCCTACAGCAGACTCGTCGATCGGCGGCCGACTCGCCGTCGTTGGGCGCTCGCAGCCGTCAGGAGCGGCGTCTCATTAGAGCCGCCGGCCGATTTATAGCCGCGAGTCGACCGACCGACCGACCGCCTCGAGCGGGGCACGGAAGGAACAGCGGCAGGGGCGACCCCCGGGAAATCGGTACGGTGAGACCACACCACACCGCGGGAGAGCACCTCTCTAACCAGAAGGTCCCCGTGCCGGCTGACAGGGACTCCCCTCCATGTGACATGCAGATCCGTCACAGAGATAGAGATCTGCCACGGGGCCCGGCGATCGGGCGATCGATATTTGCGCCATTTCATGGTGTAAGGGCCACGACTACACGAATTAAACACCACCCTTGGGTCTGAGCAAGTGGCGCCCCACAGCGATGACACTGGAGCAGGTCGGTCGACGCGGGCGTGCCTTTCGAAGGGCTAGGAGAATAGGGATAGGACAGGGAAGGAGGGAGCACTCGCTCACCTGCCGCGTGTGCGTGACACGTGTCCAGACAGACTCCGATCCGGTCCTGGTCCTCCACCAGGTCGATGATTGCCCGCAGCTCGCGCAGGTCACCGCCCAGTGTGTTGCCCTGCAGAATATTAGGTGAGGTCAGGCTATCGTTCATCGTATTATCCTTGAAAGGATTTAATCAGATGTGCTTGATATACTCAACTTAATTAGGATGCTACATCAAGATGTGATAAGGCCAGATCAGAGGTCAATGATAGACCAGGGCCCTTCATGTGTCACCATTTTCTTCTCGTTCTATACCGGAATCGGACTCATTGATATCAATCATCATGCTTGAAGTGAAAGTACAGCGAAAATAAAAATGTTAGAGAAAGCTCACGTCGTTTAGCAAGAACCTAAAAACCGCTTTAAGACGCGGGTGGATGGTCCACCAGGGTCAGCATCGGATCCCGTTCAAAGTGCGGCATTCCTAATCGCCGACCGCCTGTTACAAAATGGCCAAAGTTATGTGCCGCCGTTTCAGCTATCCGGATGTGTACCGCCTGACCCCACTGTGGGGCCCAATAGCGCACGGTTGACGACCCTGGCCCCGTGCCGAACGGCCCCTTAAAATCGGCGTCCAGGAGACCTACCGTATTGTGGTCGCAAGGCCGGTTAAGCTAACAGTTATGCCTGCGGTGTGTGCCAAGAGGCAAACAATAGAACGTCCGGGGGACTGAGAGCCTCCGGTACCAGCACGTTCCGCGGCGTAGCGGATGTAGGTGGACCAGGAGAAGGCGGATAGATGAAGGTGACGGAACATTACCTAAGGACCGCGCGACCTGGGAGGACCGGCACACCTGGCAACCAGCTCGGTGAGGAGACTGCCGATAGAGCTGTCAGGCCTTGGAAATCTGAGCTGATAATACAATCACAAAACATCGGGCGAGGGCTCACTGAAAAAAGGTCCACTTCTGGTGCTGAGTGGAGATCATAGATCACCACTCACCGGCCTGAACGGATCATTGGAAACCACATAACTTGACCGTCGCTGGTGCCCAAGAGGCGAGGAAACAAAGAAGATAGCACAACTGTCTGCAGTTTATCAATAAAACAAATCCTGCTATTTCGCCTGGGTTGTGATGAATCACCATTGACCAGAATAATAAACCGCCTCTATCATCGATGAGAATGGCGAACCATGCATAATACCTTTAGCAGAATCTTAATGCTATCATCACTTGCCAGGCCAATCGTCAAAACATCGCCGCCATAGCCAAGTGATTCGTGGAAGATAAAGCTGGTTAGTGCATTGTGGCTGATATATCGGCCCGGTCTCGCCATCCACCCCCTCTAGCGGAAGGAGTCCGAACTAGGTCAGTGCGGCCAGAGCCGGGTAGGTAGAGCGGCGCTATTGCGGCCCACACGCGATTTTTCTACCACGGCGGCTTTGTCTCGACCTGTACTGGGGGATATCAGATCGGATCGTGCTGGTTTTTAGAGGAAAGTGGAGCCGCGGACACGGATTGGCCTGCATGCAAGGTGAGCCCAGCAGAGGCGAGCCCAGAGAATAAAACCGGGAGGTGTTGGAATCACAGCCTCGGGAGGGCTGCTCTGCTCATTACATTCAAGCCAGATGCGCATGAAGCTACCAGCATCACCCAGCATATATGAATCGGGGCGTCCGTTCAGCACTCGACACCAACTTTGACATCTATTAATCCCAACACCAGGCGTCGACACCTGCATTTGCGCAGCAAAACAAAGTTTCCAGCATGATGCGGCCGGCCGTGGCCACTACTTTCCACACATTCCATGAGCTATAAGAAACAGGGAAAGAGGCCAAAACCTGGCCACGTCATGATGATTCTATGGGAGGAAAACTCGTCATAAATCCACCGCCACATAACGTAACTCCTTTGTACAAGACCCAGAGACTTCACCACGACCTGCGCTAAAATGGTCGATGGGGATTCGGGAGAGTGTTTTCCAAGGGACGTGGTGTCCTCGACATATCGATGGAGCAGGCAATCGAAATATCGATACGGTCACAATCGATGGGCGTCAAAATGTATGCTGTTTTTTTCTTCCCCTTGGGCGGTGTGCTTTCTCAGACCTAGGGACCATTAAAAACGAATTTTAGAGGGGTGAGGAGAAAAGACGGTTAATAAGCCGCGGAAAAAACGGCAGGGAAAAGAATCAAGAGAAAAGGAATGTCAAACGGTCGTGATAATGAATACATGCGTTTGTTGTCATTACGAAAATGACATGTTGTCATTCTGACACAGCATGAAAAATGTTGTGACAGAGAATACCTTTTCGGTATGCACTTGGAAATTCATATCAATTATCCTAGGTGGTAGGCAAATTCCTGTTAACGCACCTCATAAAAAGTGTTCCATAAATTGCGATCGTAATATGAGCCGAAATAATTGCGTTCATGAGACACCAGCTAAAGACTTCACTGGGTGGTGCTCCATTATCAGTTTGGAACCTTCTTCGGGAGCGCCATAAATTGCGGGATAAGCGTAAATCCCGACACCCTCCGATGCTATATGGTTTCTGAGAGCGAAAAATGGCGCCGCAGTTACACTGTTCTATCGAGTGTCTCTGACCTATCGCTGCCAGGAATTTATACCTCAAGTTCGAGGCCAGGCCCGAGCCAATTTTTCGCGCACCGAATCTGAAAATCAGTGGGACCGTGTTTCTTCGTCGACATGGCTGGCCTGTCCCGATGGCGGGCTGGGTGGCTATTTTTACACCGATATCGGAGTCTGTGACCGACCAACTGACCACAGGAGACACAGAAACCATATGGTAGGTGGGCGAACGGCGACACACCATTTACCAGCCGTGGAGAGACGGGACATCTCTCCCGGCCAGACACGGGTCTGGTCACATCGCTGGTCCTTCAGGCCAGGACGCCACGCTCCACAAGCACAATGGGTGGATGGACGAGCCTGACGTAAAATAATAAATTTACGTAAGGGTGGGGCGGAGAAGATCGGGAACTGATCGATCAACTTGAGATTGCAGTCTTACTGCAGTCCTGCAGCCGATTCGCGTTGGTGCACTAAGGCCCTAGTGACACTTGATTTCAAGTCTCACTAGGCGATTTCGGTTCGCGCTGAGCCACTAGCCGATTGGTGTAAAATGCCGCTTAGTGTCACTACCATCAAGTGTCACTTGGCCGCCTAGTCTTACTAGCTTCCTAGTGCGCCATCTCGAGTCGGCCCCTGAATTTCAGCATCAGTCGGAGAGCGGAGAGTGGGGAAGCCAGGGAACTAAGGCTAGCCCTCGCTATCCCATGCGTCTCCGCTCTCCCATGAACCGTTCCTCTGAATGGTGCAGCTCTGACTGTAGAAATGATTGGCGACAAGCGGCATCCGGCACCTTAGTAAAGTAATCTTGTCCGGCACCCAGCGTCGATCGGGGTCGCCTGTAATTTGAAATGATATCGGAACCATCTCATGAATCTTGATATCCGTCACAAATATATATCGCAAGTCGACCGACGTATTCCTCTGAGGAAATCTGTCAGCCAGTATCAAAGTTGGCGCGAACGTGGGCGTTCACTTATGAATAGTAAAATGAAACGAAACGGAACGTGAAAGAAATTGCTAACTTGTACGCATATCATTGTTTCACATAAGCACGCTTCATTGCCACAAGAAGTTTGGCGAAACGAACGAAAGTGATTATACGTAGACCCTGCACATTGGACGCCCATGCCCACTTTACAATCACCGCACGCATTTTAGGTACTGTAGCTATCTCGCGGATCTCACAGCTGCAGTTCATAGCGAGCGGGTGCGTGGCCCACCAACTCACGCAGGTTTGCGTGAGCCGCCCAGCACCGGCGCCGCTCCCCGGCCTGTGCCCGGTAAGGTGAGCTCCCGGGCGGGCCAAGAGGTGGAGCCCCGTACCCTTATCCACCACGCCCGCCTCCGCCCACTGCTGCTCGTGCCGCCAAGGGCGTCTTGTCCGTATTAACCCCGCTGGACAAAGATCCAGCTCCACGAATCAGAGGGATGTGGACACGCGGCAGCTGTACCTATTAGCCTCACGCACGGCACACCGTGCGTGGTACTGTACCAAATCCTCCCTTGAGTGGATAATCCTAGCGCTCACACGGGGGCACCCGAACAGGGGATCAGTGATTATACTTGAGAGTCGGGTGTTCAGAGTAGAGTGCTCCGAGTCCCTGGCAGAGACTTGTGTACGAGTACGAGACGTTCCAAGGCCAGCTGCGAACTCTGCCGCCGTTATTGCATGGATGAAGGTAGGATATTACAACAGCTGAGCCGTTTAGTGTGCAGCAGCCGCAAAGCCATGAAGAAAATAAGATTTTACCGCTAATCCGTTAGCTGCATCCGAGATACGAAATCCATGAGACACTGCACAAAGCAACATTTATTTTTAGCTTGATGACATCTTTGTGAACGTCTGCATAGAAAAATCCGTAACAGGGAAACACATGTTAACATTTTTTGTTTGGCATATCCACATGTTTTGCCATGATATCGAAACCTGTAATCTTTCGGGGTCTGTGAAGCGTGTGTTTTTTTCTTGCTAAGGGGTATCTGACCTTTCATCGCGGGTCCACTTGCTCTCTGGAGGTGGAAAGTCCACCTGTTTCCACTGGTACACATTTTTTTTTATCGGACACCTGCCTTGTCCCAGCACACGAATGAAAGACGGTTGCTCCATTTCATAATAACTCCTTAATTAACTAATTCTGCGACGTCAGTAGACTGAGATGGAAAACACATCGATCAGCCACTGTAACTAACAGTCACCATCAGTTACGCAGATGTGAGATGATCTAAAAGTGACCATAAGCGCACCTCCCAATTTTAGGAACAAAATAGTCCAGATCATAGTAACAAAGAAGTGACTTGAAAACGACACACAGTCTGTGACGCCACGGCGGGATGGATGCCCTCAAACCTGACGGTGACTGACTTGATGTGACCTCACAGCACCTGACCTCCGTGATCTAATAGCGACTGACCTGGCGTGACATGTTCTCCAGCAGCACTGTGACCCCGCTGGTCACACCGAGGGCGTCGTTGATGCCCCGAGCGATGTGGGCGACGCTCTCGTCTCGGCTGATTTTCCCGCACGTTGAGCCTGCCAACAAAAGACCATCCGACCAATGACGTCAGAAACCACACACGAGTGACGTCATTAATTCAACCCCGTGACATTTGTGGGCGGCGCCCGAAGTTCGCACTCGCTTCCCCGGTCGGAACCGCAGATAGACCTGGGACAATTACTTCGACACAATTCATCATTGCGGGATGAGTTTCGTAACCTGACAGGCTCATCTCCGGAGGCTGGTTTAACGAGAGGACGACCAACTTTGCCAACTACCGAACAGTAAAAATTCACCAGAGTTGAGCCAACTACGATAAGCGATTATGATGTAGCAGTCAAAAGGCGGGGACTAGTGAATGAGGCTCATTATCCCAATAGTCATATTCAGGTGCGTTCGACGATTTAGAATAGGATTATAAAAGTCATCAACTTAAATAATAAAATAGCATTTTATTACTTCCATATCAAATAACACCGAGTATCAGCGCGTCCAAGTTTTCCGCCGGCATATATTTCAGACTTACACACCATTTTTCGCATAATCCATCTCATCATTGGAGACTCATCAGCTCGCCAGACCGTCACATTACAGCCCTCTATCCTGTCCGGACCCCGGTGGGTGCCGGCCGGCTGCGACAGCCAGAAAATAGCTGCCCCGGCCGCGTCTCCGTGGCCGTGTATGTCCTGTCTGTCCCGTCCGCCGCCGATCGGCGCGATACCGCAGACCGTGGGACACCTCTGCAGGTCGCCGACACAGGCACCTTTGCCGGTCGCCGACACGCCTGACGCTGCTGTTCCGGGGAAACCAGTCGCGCTGACACAGACCCGGAAAACCGGCCTGCCCACACCGCTGTACTGGACTGAACGGCGCACAGTGGGGACGGGAGGGACGGGGCCGGGGGGCACTGTCCTATTGCAGAAGGAACGGCTGTGGAGGGGACCCAGGGGGCATTGTCCTATTGCAGTAGGAGCAAGGCAACAGAGCTGAGCAGCGGACGACAAAGGTGAAAAATGTGCGAGCTACTCGATGGCACTTACACTCTTGCACGACGCACACTTGTAAGATAAAGCTCAATTCACCTATTTCGAAATACTTGTTTTCAAAGCTTTGCCCTCAGTTGTTTCAATTGCACAATATGCGAGCCTAAGACAAGCACTGCTGTATTTTCACCTATACATGAAAATGCGCGCCAGCGTGAATTCATTTTGAGAGCACGTTTCCGCGGCATCTAACTGGCTGAATGATTTCATTTATTTACTGTTCAGCAGTGGCCTCGTTTGAATAGTTTCCTTCATCTCTAAGTGTATGCTCAAGGGAGTTTGGAGGCCCTCTCGGCTTACGGATACATTCTTGCTGATGTTCGGAGATCGCCCGCCTACTCTCATCTCAAACCAATGCTGTAGAAGGATGCACATTGCACACTTTATCTCAATACGGTCTCGACATTAACTTTGGGCTTTGACCTATCAGAATAATATGTCTGTAGGAGAAACCCAGGCCGCGTGCTCTTGACAGCCCTCGCCGATGGGCAATGAACCGCGATCAATACTCGAAGAATTTATTCTCAGGGAAAATGGCAAAGCGGAGAAATCAAAGTTGGCAACCACACAAGAATAATGACAAATATCAAACGCTCAACGGTTTTACAGCAGCAAACACGAGCAGACAATCGGCCGACCCTTGTCAGAAGCGCCGGTAAAATGCAACCGCTGGAAACTAGACAGTAACTGGACGGCGTGTGAGCTTAACAGACTGGGCTGCAGAAATCGTGAGACTTCAAAATAGCCTGCTGTCGAGCCTGCAGATAGTTAGCAAGCGAACATGCGCGTCACGCTGTACTGTTTTTCGCCAGAACCAGGAAACGAAACATTTGTGATACATAAGCCTGTACATTAGAAGCAAAGGGGAATAAACGGATCTTCGAACACACGAATGACCACGACCGGATGGTAGATACTTTGAGCTTGAGAGACAAGGACGACCTACCGCAGCGTTTTAACTTGGGTACGACTTCAGGTAACGCCATATGCAACGGAAAACAGTATCATCACGAATGCACTGAGGCCGTATGTAAGATGGGGAAATATGTTCATCGAAATGAAATAATCATCATGATTATTGTTGGGTGGGAATAAATCATGCCCGGAAGTCTCGAGAATCGCGACTAGACGCGTTGTCATAGCCAATTCTTATTGCAAGTGATCAAAAGTAATTTCTGCATGCGACGGTGGACAGCGGAGAACAGATCAATTGAAACTAGAGGCGATTGATTCTGAAATGCCGGATGCGCATTGTAAACGTGATCAGGAAATACATATAATGAGTACAAGTAAATTATAGAATTCGAAGATGAGACAGGCATCTGTGTATTCAATGGACATGGCAACTGAGACCATGTCATTAGCAACAGAGAAGGGACGATATAATTGCCTAGCGAACAGCAGATAAATGCCACTCGATATCGCATATGGCTCTCAATTGCCCAATCACATCTCATCACAACCTGATGCTAAAAATGTCGCACGTTCGATTCACGAGACCTACACCGTGCTGCGCTGTCCGCGCTGCCCTCACCTGGGTGGAAGTTGAAGAGGGGCAGGCCCAGCTTCTGACAGCGCTGCAGCTCGTCCAGCAGCAGGGCGCAGCTCTTGGAGCGGGTCTCCGGCTCCGGAGAGCCGAGGTTCATCAGGTAGGAGCCGTGGGGCACCACCAGGTCACCCGAGTAGCCGTAATTCTGGAGAGGGAGGGGTAAAACAGCATTAGGTAGGAGCCGTGGGGCACCACCAGGTCACCCGAGTAGCCGTAGCTCTGGGAGAGGGAGCATTAATTAACACAGCACAGCATTAATTAACAGTCATGGCGATCCGAAACCAATACTAAAACGCCTCATAAACACGCAAAATAAACCCTGATTAATTTCACAAGCGATAATTTCAAAGATTATAATTTCCAAGGTCTACCATACCATGCAGTAGATGCAAGAATGAAAGTCTTATTTTAGTTTTTGGAAGCCTTGGTTACGACATATCACTGATAACAGCTCGGATGAATGTCCGATATTGGACTCGTATGATAATTGTTGGCCTCATATTATATCTGCACAATAAGGTACTATGAAGGTGCAGCCCTTACCCGGTTTTTCCGAGTTACATCCAGTGCAGTGAGGAGCGATGGCGAAAGTAACACGCTAACATGAATACCATTTCCTAACAAGGATTATGCTTTCCCTTTTGTGGGGGGGGGGGGGGGTCGACACAAATGCTGGCACGCAAGTGCAGACCAGTCCGGGAAAGGAAACAAAATGTGCCAACGATAGAACATGATGCCCTTTTAGGGTCAGACGGGCCAATCAACTGAGAATTTTCAGGCGGCATGATACAACTTTTGATAGCCTCACTGAGACAGTGCATTGTCCACTGCTGACTCCCCAGTGATCACGAAGTGCCGCTATCTCTCTAGACACCGACAGAGGCGATTCACGGCAGTGTGCTGTCCAGCTCGGCGGCTGGCCGCCACTGACCACCCTGCGCGGAGCACCCGTCAGCACACAGACCGAAATGGATGTCCACTCAACTACTGTAGTAGATAAACGAAATGGAGCAAATTACACCCGACCGCGGTAAATGACAGCCTGGACTGTGAGATGTTGGCAGGGTCACGGGGGCTGAGAGGCGACAGGGACGTCGACATTGTCGATTCAATGTGAAAATCCGACTAAAAAGTCACCGCCAGGGTTAGGTTGAGTGGCCACCAGGCACCAGTCGCATATCAACGGGAGACAAGGTCGATTTAATGCTTCCGGTGGTAGTGGCCCGAGGCACGGCTGAAAAACTAGCCTCTGTGGGCGAGCGGGCACCGAGGTGGTTCCCATCAGTCGGCTTCCCAAGGGACAGCTTTTATCTGCGCTCGTTGAGACTGGGACTACAAGTCCGTCTGTAAGACACATAGGGGCAGCGCCTCCCAGCGAGCGCCCGAGTTGCGTGTTGAAAGCTGAAACAGGACTGTTGACGGTCTTCGGCTGCGGACTTCGGGCAGCTCAGTGGTCAGCGTCCCCCTAACTTACCTGCATGGCTTCTCTGAACCGGGCGGCGTCCTCCTCCGAGAGAGGTTTCCGGTTCCAGGTGCGCTGGGAGGCCAGGAACAGTGCAAACGAGCGGGCTCCGATGTCGTGCGCCTCCCGCACCGCGTTCCACAGGCCGCCTGGGGACAGGGACGGGTCGGGTCAGGTCAGGTCATAGGGTGACAGTGTGTGGCAGACTATGCAAGGGGTAAAGATAGGTATTCCGTATTACAGTACTTGGCACGGCACAGCGGGTCAAGGGGCAGGGGGGCAGACCGCCAGTATAGAGCAGCTACTGATATTTTCCGCGCCATGTCGAAGTCCGTACTACTGTGATCTGTGCTCAGTTGTTGGGGAAGAGGGAGATACGCCTCTTACGAATATACTCAAAAATAATTTCCCGCTAGAAGATGATGAATGCTTGTCGAATCTATTATTGTTAATGCGCTTCTCTATGCTCATGCTCATTGCGATTCGATCTATTTTTTTTCTTTTGGCCGACAGCCTATAGGTAAATCCATCACTTTCCGTCATTAGGTGAGGAAGTGGCATTAGGTTTTCCTTATTCGCAGTATTGCTAAGGCCGAGCATATCGTGATGGTTAATATTTCCTGTTGCAGGGCAGCACCAAGTACCACGGTAAAAATGGACCACACCTTCAACATAGAAGGATTTATGCAAACGAATTACTAGCCAGAACCCGACCAAATTAGCTCACCACGAATAGGCGTGAGTGTGTGATGTGTTAAAAACAGGCAATGACTGCCCCATCTTCCGTCAGCAAGGAACATTAGCAACTGTATGATATTGCGACTCATAGGGCAAAGCAATAGTGTCAGAAATAAATAGGCTCCAGACATAACCAGCGGAGGCCTCCGTGTAAATTCTTGGACGATGGCGGCATCCGCTGAAGTCACATCTACAATACGCAGTTGTAGCGTCATTGGGATAGCCAAAGAAAAATGACTTATGGGATGACGGTACCTACGCTAAAGCCAAAGCCAAGGCTTTGTTTGTGACTGCTAAGCGTTTTCCATTGTTCGGCAAAACACGCACGACGTGGTTGGGGCAATTCGCGATATATTGTGATAATGTTTGGTACTCATCTAATCTCGATGCGATACAATGTGCGCATTTTTATCAGAATGCTTAGCTAACAGCCAAGAAATAATTGCTCAAAGTCAGCCCGAAACGGTACCGAAAACGTTTAAAGCGCTCAATAATAATAAGAACAGTCATAACCAGGAACTTATCTGGATATTCCATCAAAGTAGACTAACTGCTATGGACCTATATCCAGTTTAACTCTAGTGGTTATCGGGGTCATGTTTCATGCGCAGTCCACAAATTACAGAGTCTGGTGAGAATGGGACCCAATTTGCAAACGCGGACAGAAAGGCCACTGAGATCTGAACAAGACAAACGGCCACACCAAACACCCTGAGAAAGGCTACGCAAACATTAACTGCTACTTAGATCTGACGTTGGAAGAAACCGATAGCGAAATCATTCATATGTCCGAATTCATATGCCAAAGCGCCTCATGAACCTTCATAAAGACATTGAAATTGACGACCACCAACAAATGCCGGCTAAGAGCGATTACAGCACTCTCACTTGATAACTACTTTAACACTCGCCGGCACAGGCAATTTTGCGTCCTTCGATGGCACAAGGGGGGGGGGGGGGTACGACCCCCCTCACGTTTGGCCCCTGATTGAGCTAGAGCTTCGCGGAAAAAAACGAGCGTGTTGCCCGTCACGAGAGAAAGCCGATGATACCCAATTTTAAGGTCCTAGGTCACCGGTTGACCTTCCAGGTCAGGTCAATGACCCAGAAGTCGGGAAAATCGGGACCTGTTAAAAAATCGTAGTGTGGTTGCATTGGGTTTTTCGGGGTGCTGATCACGAATATCGTGTTAGTTTTGATCACAGATGATGTCATTGAACATTTAGACCAGGTCGGGTCAGGTCAGGTCAGGTCAACCAGTAGGGGTCGTGACGGGTATTCGTAATACGTGTCAACCGCCTCTGACAGCTTCGTAACATGTAACAAAGAAACAAAAACTACTTCGTAAGTGTTTAAATGGTTGCTAAATTCGAATTCAGCTCCAAAAACTATCCTAGAAACATGTAAAACTCGAAAAAGTGGACCGAGGTCACCAAAGGTCAATGGCCTAGCCTGACGTTCAGGTGATCTTGACATCCATCCAAATGCATGGGAGCAACATCAAATCACATGTTTGAACGTTTGAAACCACAAAAAGCTTGCAAACGCGGGGCTAATGCGAGCCGACATACGCCGAATCGCGATTCCGGCCAAACATGGTCTCGGAAAGTAGGTCACAGGTCTAAGGTCATTTGGGACAGGAAATTTTCAGGGTAGGTGTAAAATTGAGCAATGCGAGGGTACTGAAATTTTCGTCGCGATCAGCCGCTTTTTACGCGAGTTATTCGCGAAAAGCCTTAGGGGGGTTGCATCACCCCCCGTGCCGGCGAGGGTTAAAAAGACGGCCATAAAATTGGTGAAAGGTCAAATGGCAGTCTAAAGGTATGGTATGGAAAGGTATGGCAGTCTAAAACAAGTACTTCACAGCAAGGAGTCTGGCAGTCTAAATTTATTAGCGGTTCGTCCGCAAAGGCGGCAGTTTTCAAACTCATCAGCCCTGAGCAAACTCACACCGTTTATCTCGCCACCTCCTAATCGGACCTAACGACCACTTAATACATCCCACAAAACTTGGGTAGGTTACACGGCGGTTTAAGCCGACCACCAGCCGCTCCCGAGTCCCGAATGCCCGCCGTGCAGCCCTCCACTGTCTCTAATCGTGAACACAGCTGTCGGGTTATGGGAATCCTTCTGTGAATGTCGGTACATCACACAAACTCGACCACAGGCCGGGTACAGGTCACGCAGGAAACGAACACCTTGGGACCGTGAGAATGTCACAGAAACGGCGCAAAACGACCGGCGTGACGGCTTGTAGGACAGCTCGCGGGAATTACCGGGAAAACGAGGTACAGCCCTAATTGTGAAAAGATGCTTATCTGGGTGACTTTTCAGTGGTTTTATCCTGTGTATCACAAGATTTGAAGGAAAGATAAAGAACTGAAATGGTGAGAAGATAATCATTTTCGAGACTGACGACTAATGAGAACTCATACAATGAATAATGAAATGTTTCGATGATCCTCATCACAACTCGAAATTTGTGCGATGCTTATAGTGTTGTCTGAGCAATATTATGATGTTGTCATAAGCCATTAATTAATGAAACCTGTTTAGCAGCGTTGAATACGTTTTTGCCGGACACATGCATCGGGGAAAACTGCGCTTGATGGTGAGGAGGAACTGGAAAATGATGCCTATTTAGTAATTTAGTAAATTATGGGCAGTGGCTAGGCACTCAAGGCAGTAAGCCATTCGAGCAGGCAGCTGAGATGACGTTGGAGCCCGGATAACTACTTACTACATCCACAACCCTGACCTCACTCACTACTCACCCGCTCCGGACACATGGGCGCCCACGTACAGCTGTCCGGTGGCTTCGAACGGCGCCCGGCAGAGCGCTGTTCCCTCCTCCTTCACAGGGGGTAGCACAGCGCGGACAGCAGCCGGCCGAGAGACCGCAGACTTCACCGCGACCTGCGCGGGGCCGAGGGCGGGTTTGGAGTCTTCAGCCTTCAGCACCTTCACCTTCTTCTTGCTGGTGGCGGCGGTTGAGGGCGGGCGCCGTTTCTGCGCTTTGCGAGATCCCGTGGGCTGCTCGCCGACACCAGACGCGGCACCGGTGGCCCTTCCACCGCCCGATGGAGCTGACGGGGGCGCCGAGCTCCGGCTGGAGCCGCGGGTCTGAACCATCTGCGTGGGGACGCCCGGCATCGACAGCTCAGTACATCGACTAGCTGCTTTTGATACCAACTGCAAGTGAAGCAGCCAAATCCGAGGGAGCTAGGAGACACTTTGTTGGTTTGTCATGCTCACGGAGTCACAGCTCACCTGCTCCTTCAACTAACTCAAGATAACCAATCTTCTGACCTTCAGACTGAATATGTTAAGTTTTAGATGCAGATAAAAATTACAGTTAAGAACCAGAGCCCATCCACTGTAAATCAGCAGCACTATCAGTTCTGAGAAACTGAAGCCTAGCTGGTGCAGTGCAAACTTGGGGCAGTGCAGTGCAAACTTTGCTTACATATATAAAATTGCCAATTAAAGGGACTATCCCACCTTCTAAAATGTTGTTAAAACCAGTTAAATTGTGCCCGACTTTATAGATTGGATGACCAGGAACACGGTTCTGGCATTTATTTTTCATTAAACATCTTAGGCTTCCCATATTCCAAACACAAAATTTCAAATATGTGACGTCACAGCCCAAAATTACCTCCTTCCCCAGGCCACATTACTGTCATAAAGCTGATTCTTTTTACTCTGTAGGCACCACAATAAAGTTCAGACCAAGTTTTAAGCGATTTTTCAACGAACAAACCCATTTAAATCAGAATGACTAAACGAGGTGACGTCACATAACGGTCGCTCCATGTTGAAGATAGGGCCTTGTACAAGACCCATTTTCAAATGAAGGGAACAAATTTCTTCAACACCAAGAGGCTGCGGGGGTTGCAACCTAGATAGATAGTGGTTTCTGAACCTCGCCGCAAACTTGGCTATCTCAACTCAAACCCCATGTTAAAGGTGGGATAGTCCCTTTAATATCAAACAGTAACCTCAGGGCTCCAAGTTCCAACTATATACCTGGTCACCAACAATATGCCTTTACCCTCCATGTGAGTTGGACTGCGTCAGTGGTCAAACTGGGTATGTCCTGTCCTAGCACCATTCTCGGGATAACTAAATCATTACTGAAACTTCTCTTTTGCTTCATTCAGCTAAATTCAGCTTGGTAAACAAAGCAATACTTTCAATAACCTGTATCATTTCCAGGTAAAACAATATAAAAAAGTATATTGATGTATTCTATTCTCATAGGTACCTCAGTTGGGGAAACTACGAGGAGCCAAACAAAAATTGGATTAGCCAATCAGCGGCTGGAGTGGGCGGGGCGATGACCATATATGGTCATAAAATCAAACAACTTCATCTTTTCAATGAATTTTAGCATTCAAATGAAAAAATAAGGCATAAGAATGTTTTTTAACCACACAAGGCCTACACTCACCCGGTGCATTATTAACTGGCGGCTCTAAATCGCAGAGTTACAACGCAAGGTCAAACCGTGATTGGCAAATATGGCGGATTGAAACAGACGCGCCAAAAAATGTAAGCAGTACCGTGGTTTAAAAATGTCATTATTTTTATAATTTTGTTTATGGTTTTTCTAATTGTAATCAAGTTATTATTTAAGAATTAAATATTTTTGTTTATTGTAATTAAATTAAATCTTTTAACAATTTTCTTTCATAAAACCAATCCATTTATTGAATGGCCAGCTGATTGTGACGCCCAGAACCTGCAGAAAAGCCGTTTTCCTATCGCCATTTTCGAGTCAATTCACCGAATTTAATCAAATCACACTAATTCCTAGTTATAAATGGAAGCCTTTTCTCTCCAATAAGTGGACGCGATACCGCAAATACCGGCTTGTTATACCGTTTTTCACCCTTAGTAGCGGGGGCTGCATTTATGCCCATATATGGTCATCAAAAGTCCATTTATTGACCAATCCATTTTTTGACATTCGCCTCGTAGTTTCCCCAACTGACCTAGGTTATAGGTACCTACCTACCCAATATTCCCGATAGCATAGGTACTGAAATTGCCAGCATGCTTCACTTTAATGAGCTTATAAGCATGTTGAGCATAAGTTAACAAATGAGCAGCCCTGAAAAGTCCTGAAAGTGATAATAAAACTTATAAACTTGTGATAATATGATAATAAGTGATAGTGATAAATAATAAAGCACATCAACATACCATCAAAACACAGAACAGACTGCGCTTCAGCGAAATATCGAACTAGCATCCAAGGACCAAGTGACTGTTCGTCGTGCTAATTGAGTGTAAATATATCAATAAACGGAGTCATTTCCTCATCAGACGCTTAAATCGCTATTCTTTATCCGCACAGCACCTATATAATACATTAGACCTGTCCAAAAAAAACCAACTTTTCGATGGACAAGCTCCCCTGGTGTTTTCCCATTGCTAGATGGCCCAATAGCTAGCACACCGAATTTCAGCCCTCTAGCTAAACCCTCGACCCTAGCGCAAGAGCGTCAAAGTTTTCCGGTGCTAAGTACACAGAGAAGGCCATTCTACGGTGCGAGTCCTGCAGTTGTCGTGTCAGCATCACTACGCATAAATGTAAAATAATGTGTGGTGAGATCCGTGTCATTGTCTGACACATCGACACATCTTCGCTCGTAAACTCGGCACAGGTGGTCTAACCCGTCTGATTTGTATTGAATAATACATTACCTAGGAATGGTAATGACACAAAACAAAACGACAAACACGAAACAAGTAACAACTGGCAAATCATTATGTCACTTTTCCGAGGTAGGCAGCTTTATCCTACTTTAGATATAAGGTAACCAAAACACAGCGTCTGGTTTCCACTGCTGTTCGTATTTGGTACGAAAGACATATGTTGATGAAACGATAAAACAAATGCATTTCTCAACAGACGATAAACAACCTAAATCACATCTTTTCTGTCACATCACAGCCAATGAAAGACGCACAGCACTGATCAGTCACAGAATCACAGTCTCATGGCCTCAGACGGCGGCTGACAAGGTGGCTTTGCTGTAGTCTGGGTACCGCTGACGGTGCGCCTCCACAACCTGTAGCAGCTCCTGCAGCTCGAAGTCGGAGGTCGTGATGTGGCCGATGAAGTCACTAATGAGCTTTACTCCGCGCTCCGCAGTGTCGTTTGTGACCCGCAGGTGCAGGACGAATGTCGCCAGGCGATCAAAGTCCGGACCACCGTCCCACGGCAGCGGCTTTCGCAGAAATCCCGCGCTGATGCCGAGGACTCCGAACACTGTGCGGGATTCTGGTCCGATGAAGTCATCCAGTTCCAGTGCCTTCACTTGGCCGGCCTCGGTGGGCAGAGTCGGGAGATCGGGCTTGCCCATTCTGGTTGCGGTTGCCTGCTCCGTCGCATACTCGTGTATGACGTCTGCCATCCGCCGTTTCGTTGGAGGATCCACCAGGGAGCTGACCAGCGCCAAGGTAACCAGCTCCTGCGTGAGGTACCAGGTGTGGCGACCGCACACCTCCATTGCCGCCTCCGCTACCTTAGGGTCCACCCTGCGGAGAACGTTGAGGTCCTGGTACCTGCCGAGGTCGCTGACAGCGGCATCCGCAGCTGTTGTGCAGGTGAGCCACTCTTTGACGTAAAAGAGGCAGACAAACACAGCGAACCGCCGCAGCTTGTCGTGCATGTCCTTGGAGATGATGCCCAGCTCCAGTAGCTGATGTCGGAACAAGAACATCTTGATGCCGTAGCCCGTAGATGACGTGGGCCATCCAGCGCGCCTTGTGGCAGGCACCCGGTTTCTTGAAGCGCACAGATGCAGCGCCGTTTGCCTCTGTCGAGTCACCGCCCAGAGCTATAACTGCAAGGGACGCAGACTCTTCGTAGTCCGCACGCAACTGCTTCTTTCCACGGATGCAGGCCAGCACTGTCAGCACCTTTGTCGCTTGTTGCTTCAAATCGTCTTCCTCTGCCGCCTCGAGTGGTCGGCATGGCACGAACGAGTGGCCAGGAACAGTCTGAAAGCGAGAGGAATAAGATGGGTCCATTTCTATTACCGGTATACAAATGAATCCGAAATGTATCTACCAAAAATGAGCACGATTTAATTTGAAAGCGACCATCAATTAAATTATCTATATTAGCTGCTGGGTTATTGCAGCTGTTTTGTGTGAATATTTTCATGGGAACCCAGCATAGCACAAAACAGAAAGCAGCCCACATTTAAAAGTGAGATGTGGAAATGAAACGACTGAAAATGTCCACTATTCATGCGACAAAACAAATTAGTGCTTTTATCGTTTTTGGTGCATATTTTATGCTGACGAGGCAACATTAAACAAACACACTAACCTCAGTTACGTAGCTGGTAGCGGTGCAGTAGAGTCGGTGGACGTGGCGCTGCGGTGCGGTCGGTGACCGGGGGACAAGTGACCGCGCCGACCCACACTGGTCGGAAACGCCTTCACGAGAGGCCACGGGCGATTCCGGAGTTTCGGATTATTTTTTATACAGATCGATTTGAAATTGATCAAATGATTATACTTAGGCCAAAAAACCTAATCCGGGTGACCAAAAATAGCTGTAATCAGCCCCCGAAGATGGGGTATCCCAGAACTCGGAAACTGACGCGGAGCAAGAGGTTTCTTGAGCCGGATATTCAGAGTCTTATTGCTGATAGACACCAAATTGAAATCCCACATATCATGCATCAAAATGTTCGTTATGAAGTTGCCGACTGGTCAGTGCAAAATTTTTGGTATACTTTTTCCCTATCTAAGATGTACTATAGCTTTTTTATGAAGGCTCTCCTACAGTGATTCTGGAATATAACTGCAAAGTTTAGGTAAGGAAACAACAGGTAGTCCCATCTAGTTCCACTCTGATTTTTTGTGAGATGAAGTAGGATTTAAATTTACACCAGGGCAACATAAAAGCTAACTGCGCATATTTGCGCAAAATTTGCAGGAGCCGCTCTTCCTACCCAACTACCGCCCGCCCCGCCCCAGTTTCGGCTCGGCCGCCGCGCCCGGCTTACGCTGACCTGTGTTGTGTGGCCTGCACGCATCCATGCGTAGTTGACTGGTCATTAAAAACAGATGCGCTTGAGTTTATGAATTTTGTGAAAAGCGCGTTTTATGTATGCAATTATGTATGTATTGACATCAAAAGCCTTCCACATATTGCGTGGCGATTACGGCCTGCATTTAGAGAGCCTTGCTATTGACAACCATCACTCGGCTGAAGAAAGTGGAAATTGAAACCTTCGTGAATATAAGACGCTGCAAATATAGGACACCTGTCACTGACGTCGGGTTACCTTGGGTTGTCTTTTTACATTAGATCACAATTCCGGTATTTAACCCTGACCGGACCG